CGGAAGGCCGTACCTCGAGGCGGTAGATGAAGATGGAGAGCCCGCTGTGCGACTGGAAGGCTGCCATGTCCAGGTTGGTGATCAGGTCCACCACGCGCACCGCCCGCGTCACGAAGGTGATCTGGTCCTGTTCATCACCCAGGAACTTGATCACCTATTAAAGGAGGGGGGAGGAACAATGATATCAGTGATGTGGACACGCCGCTGTCCCCCAGGGGTTGTTATCAGTATCTTTGTTGATGAGAGGCACTGAGTGCAGCCTCGGGAAGTTTGCAGATGACACCGAGTCGGCTGGAAGGGTCACAGCACCATCACAGAACGGTTGGGTTGGAAGGGAACTCAAGGATGATGAATTCCAACCCTTCCTGCAGGCACAGCCACCAACCTCCATATTTAACACCAGCCCAGGCTGCCCAGGGCCCCATCCAACCTGGCCTTCAACACCCCCAGGGATGGATGGGGCACCCACAGCCTCTCTGTGCAGCTGTTGCAGCACCTCACCGCCCTCAGAGCAAAGAGTTTCCCCCGATATCCAACCTCAATCTGCCCTTCTTCAACTTAAAGCCATTTCCCCTCGTCCTGCTGTTATCTACCCTTTCAAAGTGCCGATTCCCCTCCTGTCTGTAGGCTCCCTTTAGGTGCTGGAAGGCTGCAATCATTCACCCTGCAGCCTTCTTTCCTCCAGGCTGAACAAGGGGAGGTGCTGCAGCCCCCTGATCATCTTCGTGGCTCTCCTCTGCACCCTCTCCAGCAGCTCTCTGCCTTTCTTACATTAGGGACTCCAGCCCTGGACACAGTGCTGCAGATGTGGCCTCACAAGAGCAGAGCAGAGAGGGACGATCACCTCCCTGTCCCTGCTGGCCACCCCTCTTCTGATGGAGCCCAGGATACAGGTTGCTTTCTGAGCTGTAATCACACCCTGCTGGCTCGTCTGCCCGGGGGTAGCGAGGCCCTACAGAGGGATGTGGACAGGCTGGGCTGAGGTTCAACGAGACCAAATTTTGGGTCCTGCACTTTGGCCACAAAAACCTACAGGCAACGCTACAGGCTGGGGGCAGAGCGGCTGGACGACCGTGCAGAGGAAATGGAGCTGGGGGTGTTGGTTGATGCTGGGCTGAACGTGAGCCAGCAGTGTGCCCAGCTAGCCAAGAAGGCCAATGGCATCGTGGCTTGGATCAGAAATAGTGTGGCCAGCAGGAACAGGGAAGTGATCGTCCCTCTGTACTCAGAATCACAGCTGCAGTGCTGCGTCCAGTTTTGGGCCCCTCGCTGCAAGAAAGACACTGAGGCCCTGAAATGTGTTCAAAGAAGGGCAACAAAAGGGCCTGGAGCACAATGGGGAGCAGCTGAAGGAGCTGGGATTGTTCAGTCCGGAGAAGTGGGGGCTCAGGGGAGACCTCACTGCTCTCTGCAACTGCCTGAAGGGAGCCTGATGTGAGCTGGGGGTTGGCTTCTCTCGTGTAACAGTGATAGGACTGGAGGGTGCAGCTTCAAGCTGTGCCAAGGGAGATTCAGGCTGGATGTTAGGAAGTTACGCTGCTCTGGAAGAGAGCTCAGGCAGTGGAAGGGCTGCCCAGGGAGGTGCTGCAGTCAGCGACCCTGCAGGTATCCAAGGAACGTTGCGTTGAGGGACGTGGTTTAGGAGAGCTACTGGTGATGGTGGGCACTGCGTGATTTTGTAGGTGTTTTCCAACTTTGGTGATTGATTCTGTGATCCCAGGGGGAAAAACGGGGAAAAAAACCATCAAATTTCAGGGCTCTCTACCTTGAGCAAGGCCTCCATCATGCCACAAGACACCAAGGCTTCGCCGCCCGCGTCGTAGCTGGCCAGGTGGTAGAGGAAGGAGAAGAGAGCCGTGGCAAACTGGTGGGGGTAGGGCTCCATAGAAGGGTCTGGGAGGGGGGAACAGGGGGGGTTAGGAAGGGTCGGGACCCCCCCCGGTGCCCCCCAAACCCCGGTGAGGTCGCACCGATCATGGCCTGGATGCAGTTGCGGACGAGGACGGGCAGGAAGCCGTGGTAGGACGCGGTGCCGGTGCAGTCGATGATGCTGCTGAGCTTTGGGGTCCTCTCCAGGTGGACGATGGAGGTGAGGGTGCGTAGTGAGGCCGCTTTGATGTCCTGGGGGGGGGTTTAAGGGGTCAGGGGGTGCGGGGAGGGGGTTGGGGGGTGGCAGTGGGGGGGATGCTGACCATCAGCTGCTTGTCGGTGATCTGCAGCACGTCCACCAGCTCCTCGATCAGCCCGTTGTACAGGATGCTGTTGGCCGACTCCTGCAGCG